TCCTTACCGTTAATCTACCCTGGTAATACTGATTTATTATCCAGAGTGGTAATCACCTAGTTTTTGTGTACTTTATTATTACTATTTTGTTGTTACGGCTTACCTTTAATCTGTCTAGTTGACATTTCAACTTTCATATATAAATGTCCTAACAAGTGTAGATGTGTGATCAGATTGTTCGAAATGTATTGCACAAATATATAGTCACATAATTCTGATAAACTTCGTCTTCTCATTGCATTATCGGAACTAATAAATATGAAACTCAATAGAAGGCATAAGAATAAGTAGAAAACAATGCATAAATGTACCTTAATCTATTTTGAACTAGTATTAATCATGGTCATGATTGATAAATTAGAATTCTTTAAAAGACTATATTCATGAAATATGTGTTCGTTTCCCACTCTCAGTTTGACAGTCAAAGACTAATTCTATGTCTTCAAATGACCCTCTTTTATAGACCTAAGAATTCTTATAATTCTTTTGGTTCTCGTGATCAAGCTATTCAACATGAAGGCCACGAATCGTGCATGGGCTTATCTCTTTTCGACTGTCGACCTTCACAGTAAATTGTAACTCGCTGTGACAGATAAAAACTAACCTTGACCAACAACTGTAAATATCCCCACTGTTTTTTGCTTCAAAACTCAGCGTCCCTTCAGTTAACCAATAGGTCAGAAGATAGTATTTGTATATTTATCTATTCTCATAATCCGAAAACTAATATACTTATATACACTAATTACCACATCACAAATAGATCATATTTTGTGCACAACAAATTGATGGAGCACACAAAAATTGATAAGTAATTAATTGGAAATAACTTGAGGAAGGTGAAATAACTAATAAGAATTTTTACATCAAACGAGAGTACGTACAATACGGAGAATATTCAAAATACAATAATCCTATTTAATGATTCTCTTTCAAATCGTCAACCAATCAGTGTTAGACTTCCACTAAAAACCTAACGACATTGGAAGGTCGTATCCTATTAGTATGCGATCCTTCAGCAATGAGCATCCATCATTCCGCTTGCGGGAATCGAACCTATGACCATCGGTCTCGCTCACGAACACCTAACCTTTATTTAATGATTACACAATAAAAAATATATACAGTAATTTCTCATAAAATAGTTCTGAGAGTTTCAACTTCCCCCAATATCCACTCCATTATAATACTCTAGATGTAGATCTGAAATTTTCATTATTGTTTATTAAATGTGGTTGGTGTGATGGGTTATCAATAAACACTGTTTAATCAAACACTACAGAGATTATATTGTTAACTGATAACATTCAAATGAACTACTGAAATTCTCAATAAATGTGGCTATCAGGCTAACTGTCAAACACTGCGAAATGGAGAGCAACTTATTTACGCACATATATATTTGTATAACTGTTCAGTAATTAGATTATGTATATTTATATTTCTCTTATTGTAAGCTTCATTTTGATCTATAGATTATTATTATACGATTTACTATTCTTAAGTTATGTTCAGTTTATTGATTAGTCACCTACGTTCACAGCCACATTTTAGCTTGATCTTGTATAAATGTTATTTCCTATTTTATGGTGTGATGAGGTCTGTTTGGCTGATATATAAACCAAGTATGTTTAAAAGAAATGATTCGCATAGTGTAAGCTGTTATTGATGTTCTGAACTCTACTGGAAGTGCTAGGCGAACAGAAAACCAATAAAGACGCTGGGCCTCTCATACTGGTCGAACGTCATTGATTTGGCTTGGTACTAAGATTAAATAAGTCGTATTCCAATTGGCGGACAAATCACGTGATAACTATCTGGACTTAACGTCACAACAGAATTATACAAAACTTTTCTCAAATGATTTTTAGTGAATTATCAGCTTAGTGATTTTTCAAAGGGAGTTTCTAAATCTTCATTGTTTAGTTGTTTTTTTTTATTCGGGATGTGATTGTAATGTCAATCATCGATATTATACTCCCTTTTTTAAAAACTAAAAACAAAGACACACTGAAATATTCGGGTAACATTTATTTATCGACAATTGAATGTTACAAATGTAAATCATAAAATCAAATCAGGAAATAACTTAGAAGATGTATAGTTTTAACACCGTTTACTTAGAAGAATATTTCTGAGCAAAGCAAATAAAACAATGAGTTCGAGATTGGGTTATTGACAGACTATTTGTGTTATTTTGGGACTCATATAAGTGAGCCATAATTACAGGAGCAGTTGTATGGCCTAGCCCCATTACTCCCTGTATAGGACTAATGACCTGTTAACCAATGACATGATGACCTACCATGGACCAATAACTCAGTAACAGTGAGATGATAGCGGAGATCAATATTACACGCCTGTTTGTTCAGAATACTGTTCACCCACACTTGCTTGCTTACTATTCAGAGTAAAACGAGAAAACGGTAATCGAATAGCTTTTATCTGTAACGCTCAATTTTATGTCTCAACTCATACAACGATACAAATCAAATTCTCACGAGGCGGGATCGTGGATGTTCACTGCTGAGGAGTCCCATAGTAGGATGAGATAGTTGTCCAGTGCTTCTAGGATTTCCATGGTGATCTAACTTCAATTGACTCATGATCTCAACTATTAAAAATTCACTAATTTATGCTTAGATTTTATTTAAAATAAAATTTTATCACTGAATTAATTCTCTGCAAATTCATATTGTTAATCATGTCTTATATGATTGTGAAATGTTCATCAAATATAAGACTTCAATGCAAAAAGAAAAGAAAAGATGTTAGACTTTGCAATTGTTTCTATAGAGAGAACAAAAAAGGAAAGGAAACTTTTATAAAACACCTGACGATAAAAGTACCCAAAAAAGTATTGAATATTTGAATTTAGTATTTTAACTAATCTGTATCAATTCTAATGCAATAGGAAATCAAAAATATATGAATTAAACAAATGACGTGATGATATTTATAAAGAAATAAATGACAGGAGAGCAGTATTGGGATGTGAGCTACTAATGTCGACAGATATAAGTAGTATATATCACCAATGAAGAGTGGAATGCTGGACGGAAGAAGGTTGAGAGGAGATGAAAAGAGAATGAGAACAGAGAGTGATTGGTGTGGAAACGAAGGAGCAACAAAGTCTGAAACAGTTGATGGGTAATGTATTTACTGTATGGTTCTCAGATTTTAGTAAGCGACTTCGTATTTTTGTATTGCAGTAGTAAAACCTCATGGTAAGTTAGATCTAAACAAATGAGTTAGGATCTGCTTGTTAAAATTCCCAAATGTAGTCAATTCACGAAATGATCGGCCGACCATCATTTCATATTAGGAAGTAACAACTGTCCAATATTTCAATCGTTGTCTAGCTTAATTCAGTTCGTAATGAAGTAAACTACCTTCAAAGCGTAAAATCTTTAATTTCTTCAAGATTTACAAGGATATTTTGTAAATACATATGTACACAACGGTGGAAAAAATATTACAGCTCGATAACTATCTAGAAAGAATGTCTACAACTGAACTGAGATTCACACACTTTCAAATTACTTAATTGGAAATAAATACTGGATTTCTAGATTATGCAAACATGATCAATATTAAGGACTAATCCAACAATCATCCCGTGGAGTTGAATCATGTTAGGAGTGCGAAAGTTATTAATAATGAAAATATCATGAAATGATTATATTTGTAACTGTGAATCATTGGACGTACCAAATCAATAGACTAGATCAAATGTGTTTATTAAGAGATTAGAAGGTCAAAAATTTGATTTCTAGTGCATTATTAATTAGTCCAATATACTTCAACAACATAGGGATACAACTCCTAACTCAGGGTCTGAAAAGTCGAAAAAATGAAAATCCTGCAAATGCGATAAAAATGATCTTGGTGATCTAGTGATAGTATTCCGACACAAGACAATGGGTTTTAGGTGTTGTTTAAACCCTAACGATTCAGCATGGGCTATTTCGCTTACTACCCTACATATGTGTTGCATGCAGTATAAGCTATATGGCTATACAGAGCTGAAGGTCTCATATGAAACTGGATGTTCACCACTGATATTGTGGATGGTTCGGAATTGCTTTGGCAAGTTTTGCTGACTGTTCATGCACAGAATTGGTTTGCTGGTTAACCGATTTCATTCATACTGGTGGTTGCTTTTCAGTGTTCTCGAGGGCCATTGTCAGTGGGACATTGTAAGGCATGTCGCCATTGCTAACATTAATGAGTTTGACTGTCGTGTAAGCAGAATCGGTCAACTTTGTCCTGTTGGTGCGGTGCATAATTGATTCACGCGGTCATTGATCGGAATAACTATACATGTGATGTGGGTGTGTATATGAATGATGTGAATGGTCCACCAGGATGCTTGGTACCTGCGTGGTCGAGCCACAGGATTGAGCTGTACTATTCAGATTGTAGCGTTAAAGCCTATACGGTGTCTGGCTCTCCTGTGAAGTGGGATTGAGCTGTATTTTTCGGGCTATAAAATTTAAGTTTGGGCGGTGTCTGGCTCTTCTGTTAAACAGAATCGAACTGTACTGTTTGGGTTGTCACGAGAAAGTCTAGATGGTGACTGGTTCTCCTGAAAACCAATGTAAAATTACCCTGACCCACAAGGGTATATTATATAACTTGAGCAACATACATGTGTTCAGTGTTTCAAATAGTTTATGGATGAAGTTACTCTATACTATGAATTATTTCCAAATTACTTATAAATAAGTTTAAGTAGTTTCTCATATTTCCAGTCATCTGTATGAATAAACAGAATTGGTCTAAGTGAATAACAGTGAAATATTAAACAGAAATATAGTTTACATTATGAACATCTATTTATTTTGTTTATTGAATGAGTGTTGTATAAAAAAAAAACAACAACAATATCATCTTGCGTTATCCGAAAATAAAATTTAAAATGTGCAAAATTTTATAATCCCGCTTTATTTATACTAATAAATTGTTAGTTAGGCTTTATGATGATGATGATGATGATGTTATTTCGCATATGAAAAAGGTAAGGCAGATTTGATACGATTACCAGTTGATCTTGTTTCAAGATACCTAAAAGTAGGAAACAAATTTATTAATACAAATGAATACTTGTTTGTTAAAAAAACAACAAGATTTTGATTAGTATAGATTGAAAAGTTATTAAAACGAATTAAATATGTATAATGTATGTGTAACTACCACCTACCTAAATGGGCGATATTGGTTAATGTAAGAGTAAATTGTTAGGAAGTTGGAAGTGGCAAAACTTACGATTGATATCTCTATAAAATCATAAGGTGGCAGACTAAGCTATGTTGGCAGGTGCAGACTACCTTGTTTTTGGCATGAGTGATTATCATAATCAATGGTTGGAGATGTTAGATGATATAAATCAAAATCTATTACAATTGAGCATGCGTATTCACTCCTTGTCTTTCCGTGAATCTTTAGTTTTTTTAGTGAATGTATGCATTTTCATTACACGAATTCATTATGTATTCTAGAATCATGTTGTCTATGCCTAGTGTTTTGTTCCATCATTGATAACACTCTGTGATTTATATTGATAATCTGTTGTAGAATAATGATACAAACAAACAAATGCTACATTTAAGTATAATACTAAAACCAATCAGCTAATGATGATGTACTTCCTTAAGTATAGTGAGCCGTAATCTTGAGTGATGAATGTATAATGAATTACTGATTTGCGGTAGGAAGAGTGAAAGATTTTTCATGTGAGATATTTACATATCAACATTTAAAATTTTCGGGTTAACAAACAAACATAAAGATAGGTAACACATTCAATAACTTGTATGCTAAACGGAAATACAAAAGTGGCTAATACATTGGGATCTATGGTCTGACAACTGACAATTATATTCATAATCAATTAAGTCACCTTCATGGTATATAATAGTTTTACATTGAACATTAGTGATGCTTTGAAATTTGATTTCCAATTCATCAAAGTAGCTGCCTTGAATAGAAAAAGTCTCGAATGAATTAATTTTATGGGTCGAATTAATCAATTTAAACACAATTCACATCATGAACCAATATAATAGCATTATTTTTTGTAATCCCAATAAGAACGAAGTAATCTGTTAAGCTGTAGCAGATTGACCTCAGTTGGGATATCATTGAAAACCAATGAGTACTGAATAGCTGTTTTGTCCTGGTATAGGACTGCTCAGTAGTGTCCATTTACTACAGTGTCAGGGATGAAACCTACGACACTTGGGTCTCGCTGTGAATACATGATTAATAAAAATACTGAATTTATCTTCACTGGTACTATCTCAATTTTATTCAATATGATTATGTCCTAATTCATATCAATCCGTGATGAATACATTCTAAAAATTAAATCAATCATTATAAAACCGAATCAGGGAAATTAATTTACCAATCGATAAAATATTTTAAAAAACATGAAAGTATTTCTAAGCTTACATCTGTTTTCTAGTTAATACCAATTCTAATTTAGGCCAATTCCATTTTGGTGCATCCAGTCTTGATCCAAGATATTCACCTCTTGGTGTAAGTTTCTTAATTTTACATTGAAAAAAGAAAAGAAAAAGAGAAATGAAATACAAGAAGGTACTGTAGTGAATGAAACACCAATGCGGACAATCCAAATATATTTAACAGCAATTTACAGAACTAGTTAGTAAAATCAAACAACCATATATTGAATCGGTAATTTGTAAATTGTTCATCAATTGTCTCAAATCACTCGTAATCCCCTTGTTCTTGCATTTTCATACAAATTGCCTTTTGTCTTCATTCTTTATTGTTCGATGTTCTTATCTATCTGCCGCCAGACATTATGTTCAGTGCTCACGTCATATACTACTTATGTCTACATAAGTAGCACACACCACAGTACTAGTTCGAAATAACATAATTTAATATAATATTTCATAATCATTAGGTTTCTTATTGTTTACTTTCACAACTAATTTTGATTAGTCTCTGTTAGTAGATAAACCTCATTGTTATTGGATTATTAATGAATTGTATATTCTAGATAATGATTAGTAATGAGATATAAAATATAAACAATAGTATACAGATAGTTCCAAATTATGAACAGAAAATAGGATGAAACAAGTATTGTGGATTCTATTGTTAAATATTATTCAAATATATTATACATATATATTTAAACTGTTTGTTATATCTAGAGTTTAGATTCTTAATATACAGCGTATAACTTGAGCACTCGAACGCTAGAACACTCCCAAGTCGAAAATGAAAAAAATACAGACGACAAGTGAAAGGAATGTTATTCCAAACAGTGTCAATTATGGTACAAAACTGTCAGGTATTTATACTTTTTTTGTAAAAACCAAGTCATCATCATAGTCATCCAATCCGCACACTGGGTGTTATTAGCATTTGTCTAATAGGGAAGCCACACGTAGGGATTCTGGAATGTTCTTCCGAAAGATGATTGAATGCAATATCTTCGGCTCTTTCTGAGATTCTTAGAGCCCCCTCGAGTTCACCCGTGGACCATCCTCACACTGTTGTTACATGTTTCTCACAAGTCATTATTATTTTTAAGAAGCTTTTTTTAGTTAATTGTAAATAAGTGAACTTTAAAAAAAATAAAATTACCAAGATCATCAGTTATAACTTAGTGAGGTTGCTAAATAGTTATAGATATACTAACTTGTAAATAAATTTGACCATTAAGATTTCGACGCCATTTCGGATACGCTGAATCACACATTTGAAAAGCACGTAGCGGTATGTTCGAATATTGTGGTTTTGCAGATTTACATCTTTGTAACCAACCAAGTTGTAGTATTTGTTTAATTACATGATGATTACCATATCGCCGAGCTATATCTAATGCAGTTTCTCCAAAAATATCTTTCGTTTTTATATCAGCGCCTAGAAAATAGACGAAGTTAAAATAAGTTTGCTTAACACTATAGATGAGTTTTATTCCTATATTCCAAATCTAAAAGCGGCCAAACAAGAACATGGCGTCAGTCTATGAAGTAACTAACTTTTGGCCCAAACTATATTAAGCGCGATCAATGACTTGAGATGTTGCGTGAAGATTTTAAATTGGTTACAATGAGTCAGTTGAATTTCTTCTTTAACATTCTCTCGATCCAGAGCTCTAGTATTGCTTCATACATACCTTTTAATTCTGTCTTGTTATAACATCAAATTCTAAATATTCACTTGTTCTCATTAAAGTTTCTGCAACATTATTCCAATTCCTTTACTAATCATCTTTTTAAATTTATCTTGTCGTGCTATATCAACATTTGTACCAGCCTCTACATTTATTATCCCTGGCTGATTGACTATTATTTAAGATAACTACTTTCTGTCTTAAATGTGACAGGCCATGTAGATGCTTTGAGTTTTCATAATGCACTCAATTTTTACCATTTTATCTTTATGGTATTGGATTAATGTTTATTTAACTCATTATAAAAACAAAGTCAAGCGTCCTAAGAATGCAAAGTCCAGGATAAGAGTTCAATAGTCAATTAAACTGCATACGTTTTTTCCGAAGACGAAATCTTTTATTTCAAAAAGTGTGACATTAGAAAAAAAATAAAGAATGACAGTTATCATACCACATTAGAGCAGTGGTAGTGATGCATTGTGCAACCTATTTAAAATAACGGATAAGAAACCAATAATCTGATCTATTAAATCAAATGCAGTGAATACTACCAGTATTCTCGATGTAGCTTACAGGAAGACTCAGAACTCATGTTATATTTCATTATGACTAATTCTGACAGTTGTTTTGAGTTATTGCTTCTCTTTGTGCAATAGTATATATATATATATATATATATATATATATATATATTTGTGCCGAATAATTGAGCCAACTCTCGACCATTAGTGATCATCTATCGACATCTGTCACACTGTTTGGCTGTGATCTGGAGTGTACACATAAGTATGTGTTGTCTGTGCTGGTTAAGTTTAATATTTGTTTTAAAGAGACATACCAAAACGTTGTCTGACCGCAAGCATAACCTTTTATCAATACTCCGGTTTTCTGAGTTATATTAATACCACCCACATTACCAATAACTTCGTTTTCAAACGGGATGAGGTAGATCAACAATACGAATAACTTCCGCTAAGTTTGTGAATAATTTCCGATGGCTCACATCAACCAGTAAGGATTTATTTCAACTCCTCGGGAAAAATTCATTGAACACTATCCTTATAGACTTTTTATAAACCAAGACGTAAACTGAACAATTGCACACATTCCAAAAGCTATTCAATACTTTTGTCAGTTTTACTAAAGAATGTATTTTAAGAATTATACTCAGATACCTTAGCTAATGAATAATTCATACAATTTTTCATTTAAAGTGTTCACAATAACAACAAACATCAGATTAAATGATGAGTACTCAGTCATTAGAATTTGTTAAATAGGCTTTTTTCAAGAAATAAAGTATATTACTCCACCAAAAATGAAAATTTTTGATGAAACATTTTGATTCAGCTAATCTAAAATTAAATATTACCACGATTGACAAGATCTGTAATTATTTCTCCTGATGATAAATGAGCTGCAGCGATATGTAAAGGTGTCCTGCCAAACTTAGTTTTTGCATTGACATTTGCACCTATCAAAAGAAAAACGAAATTAGAGAAATCGATCAACAGCTCAGTTGCATAACATATAGTCAATTCGGTTCACACCCCTAGAAGTTAATCTTTTTTCGAAATCCTCTGCATAACGCAAAAAGAACTGGCTCAGAAATGTTTTAGATCAGGATGTTTTGTATAGTTGAGTCTATAGTAATTCACCATTTCAAACCCGACCTCTGTGTACGGAAGAGTCAAGTTCAATCCTTTATTACTCATGGTCTTAGCACCCCTTTGAATTTCACAAATTATAATTGCTGATTATAACCTTCTTATCATTTAGATGCCCTTTTACACTTTAGTACAACACCACATAAGCCTAGTTTAGATCAATCTTATAACCTGTCTCAATTATAGAGGATGATTGATGTTTATCCTCTGCTCTTATTGGGTCATTTGATTCTATTTATTTCTGTAGACATTTAGGTACATGTTTACACGCCCTAATTTTGAGATCACGATTTCTGTTTTGTTTAACAACCTAACATCATCATCAATAGCGTCATTTGTGTAAATACGATCAAGCCTGTTAAATATGTACCTTACCAAACTTTGTATGTGTTGCACAGAACAATGCCTTAGTTGTTATAACTATTGCCCAGTGCAATACAAACGGGGTTTGATAAGGTGCCTATTTAACAGGCATATATTGTTAGAAAAAGTAATGAAACTGACTTGGCAACCCAGTATATGTAATACATCGCAACAAATTGTAAGCATAGTTGGAGAAATAGGTAGGTATTTAAAACTAAACATATTCCACTTGCAAAGATATGACGCAACCAAATTTAATAAAAGTCGGCCAAATGTATATTTTATGGACAGTATCTTTCGACTCTACGCAGATACATTTGATAACAGATAAAAAGATAAACACTGCTCCTGAAAGTGCAGATGATTGGTACCTTAAGGTTTAACAAATGCATCTATCGGAACTATGGACCATGCAAGGTAAACATGTTCACAACAAAACACCTACCTAAACATATTAGTGTGTTGCAAACGTTTGCCAAACCCATTCCAGAAGCAAACAGGAGAGCAGTATTCAAACGAAACTCAATGTAATCCTGCTGATATTTTGTTGCCATACTAATGAAAGGTCCAGATGGGTAGGGAAAGTATTTCGATAAGCTATTTTGTATAATCTAAAAATATTATTTGACGCCACTTACGAGATTCATATCACTCGTCATTATGGACTTAAACAAGGCCTCCAGTGATTTTGATGTTGTAACATGCAAAGCAGACCCATTGACAATATTTGACTGCATCAAAGAGAAAGAATCAATAAGATCTCCTTAAGTTGGTAGAGACATTTTATTTTTACAATGAATGGAATGCTACCTCTATCGATAAAATTAACGTGCATGAGATCATTAGATATGCCAAAACAAAGCTCAACTTCTTTGATAACATCTTTGACTATTGATTCAGGAGATATTCCTTCTACACAATAAGAGAGCTCTAAGAATGATGAAATGAAAACTCTAAACCCATTTCGCGCGGTCGTTAGTCCCGTAGTCATAGTGATCAAATGGTTCAAGTACTTCAAATGATTGTGGATGGAACAGAAAAAGCTTTCGCTTAACGGGCTTCCGTGTCTAGTAGCAATGGATCATCAAAACCTCCAGGAAGGAACCTAAGTCCAACAACGATAAAAGAGGAAAAAGAAATCGCTAGATCATAATAAGATACTTTCATGATTCCTTAAGAATAGGTGAAGTATTCTCTTAAGGACTCCTAGGAAGTCACTTAGACTAGCTCAGCCGGCAGCGAAGTCCATCATTTGACTACTCTCAAGCAGTAAAAGCTGTGTCTACAGTCCGTTCTTCTGTGTTGTGTCTCCAGTTACTGGCTGTAAGCCCTTAAGTATGTGTTGGGACAACACTTAGGTAAATATTTAAGGGGATGGTCTAAAAGTATTTAGGATGCTGTGTGCCATTAGATCACCTCTAAAACGCCTGTACTCCAAAAGGTAAAGGTTCAGTGAGTAGAGGATACTTTACACTTTGAAGTGTTAAAGGTAAGTCCGTTGTCATCTGCCTAACTTTGAAGTTGAGTCAGATCGACATGAAGTGCCAGCCTATCCTCTTGTTTGCATACTTCTCTCCAAAGTTTCACAAAATCAGCAAAAACCAATAGGTCTGGTGATATCCGTTGTGGAAGGTCGTTTATGTAAGTCAAGAGGAGAAAAGATTCTAGTATTGAACCCTGAGGGTTTCCACTAGCATATTCAACCGTCTGAGAGTAAGTGAAGTTAACCCTAACCTTAAAATGTTGATTTTTTGGGTATGAAGTGAGTCAATCAATTTAAAATGATTTAGCATCTAGTCGTTTGAACTTATTGGTAAGACATATGGTTGACCACATCAAAAGCTTTTGAGAAATCGACATTCCCCTTGAGATCAAGGATGGTTGTTCATCTGTCCACCGCAGTCAGAAGGTATTTTATTCAAGAATGACCTTTCCTGAAACCGTGCTGTTGGGGTGAAAGGAAGTTTAAGGACAATAAATAGTCTTGTGTACCGTCGCACATCTGGGACTTCATAACTTTTGAGGGTACAGAGATAAGTGCTACCGGTCGGTAGATTGAAGTTTCACTGCGTCAGCCTCCTCGATATATCTGGTAATGTGTCTCGGCTTAGTGGATGTGAGAATGTCAAGCTAAGTGGTGTTACTCGGATCGAAGCTGCTTCCCTCAGTATAGCAAAATGAATCGAATCGGACCAGAAGAAGTGCTTTTCTGCGATGCCGCAGCTTTCGGCCCACCAAGTCAGCGTTCAGGTTCACTTCTGAAAGTCCTATGGAGTTGCAGATGAAGCTTTTATCAATAATTAGTGTGGGCCGGTTGAAATGTCTGAGGGTACTGTTCAGCCAGAAGATCAGCGGTGTGACTGTTGTAGTTGGTCGGTCATTAGGACCTAGCAGTTGGAAAACTTCATTTTCGGCTTGTCGAAGAGGGGCTGCATAACAGAATATGCTTTTCCGGTTGTAGACAAATTTATCGATGGACTTTATCTGGTATTGAAGCCTGTTTTCTCTTATTGCCTTTGTATCTATGCTTAATAGCAAACTTTTAATTCATTGTCAATAGCCATGGGATAGGGTGCCTGTCTGTGAATTTGTAACGCATCTACCTCTTAATATCCATTATGTATGCAGTATTTAACCTTCTTTCGTTCATCGATACTTTAGAAATGTTGATAATACCATTATCTTTGATTTAAAGTCGAAGATCAGTTCACGTTTTTCCCGGTTCACTGCACATATGTATTGATTTTCAATTACATCTCCAACGGTAAATTAACGGAAAGAACAGAGATATTGAGGCGGAGAATAAGAATTTCTGCTGGTCGGTTGGTTCGTTAGGATTGATACGGTGTACTCAGTTGTGAGGTGTGCTTGACAACAATTCGCTTAACCGTAATAAAATTCGGTGATTCTGCAAAAACATAGACAGCAGTCAAAAATTTTTCGTTGGATGACAGTACTGGTAATCTCATGAATTTTGTATGAACAGCTGAGATCAACTAGTTTAAGATGAGTTCATTCGGGAGAGACATGTTGTAGACTGATTGTCCTGATATATACCAAATCAGTTATTAGTATTTTCTTGACAATAGTCGAACAACACTTTTAGATTCAAAGAATCTGCAGTTTTATAGTAAAACGAAAGTTATAAATCGGTCCAGTCGAAAATTAGTGATCTTAAGTTGTTGAAATTATTATGGCGTATACACACATTGCCGACATTATAAGCAGAGATGTATAGTGACTGATAGTGGAATCCACGACATGTGATTCATCCTATTTGGGACTTATCAGCTGGATGTATTTGCATCTCACAGTTGATGTCCACTCTGGAACTCTAACCCAATAACGTCCCAAATCGGACGAAACGCGCGTCCTGGATTCCACTGTTAGTCACTATCCATCTCTGCTTGTAATACTTGTGAATTAAGGCGATATCGAGTTAATACCCATAATATGCACATATGGTAGTAATAGACTGATCAATCTCAATCTTAAAAATCAGTTGGGAGATTCATGTAAACAATACCAAGTGAATTGATAGTTGACATTTTTTCGTGACACTTCTAGCTAAAGAAAGCTTTGTAACATGGCGAACAATGGTTACTGCTTGTATGATCACTAGGAAGGGCACAAGGGATATAGAACTCCCAACACATGTCTACGGCAACGTTTTGAATATTTTCCAGGACTAGGTTAGACTTGATAATGATGGTTATAGTTTACATGGAGTCTGCTCAATTGTTTAAAATGGCAACTTGCATAAATGTTTGTGTTGCTAAACCAGTGAGCTTATGGGTTGATCAGTAAAGAGAGAACTAGTGGGAAAGCACATAAAAAATATGCTAGATGAAGATAACTATGGGAAAAAATTTTATATATTGACGATTATCACCCACTTTATCGAGTTTTTTAAGTTAGTTTCACCAATTTTATAAATCATATTTCGTGACTGTCACATTGTGACAATGCCATATGACGATGTTAAATAGTTCTGATCAGCAACTATTTTAAGCACTGATCAGGCATTAGTTAATCGGAAACAGGTAATATCATATTAGATTCGCAATGTCATTGTGGTTTAGAATTCATCCGCGCTTACTAATTAATGTATTTCTAACAGCTAATGTATGCGATTGGGTTAATAGGTGTTACGGATTTTAATTACGGAACAGCATCAGCTTTGTTACGAATCCTAAGAAATCTAGAAGGATAAACATAATACAATATCCGAGATATTCAACAATAATATGATCGGCTAGTACTAGTTAAAAGATCTTGTATTCACATCAACGCGTCAGTGTGTTATTTCGAATCTTTTGATGTGTCCGATTATGCCTTCGTCTAACAGTTCTGCTATAGTAGTCCTGATTACAGATAATTCGGAGTTCTATGGGTTGTTTGTGAAAAGATTGGTTATAATAAAATACATGGAATAGTCTTCTTTACCCCTGTCGCAGCTAAAACGAGTATTGAATCAGCTTTGAAGGTATTAGAAGAAGGTGATACTCCTATTTTTTCCGATGACGAATTCCAGATTTAGAGATTTTCGCCACAACAAGTCTTCACACTTGGTAATTTTTGGTCTACTCATTAATAATCACCCCCTAAGTGTTGTCTAGTAGTAAAATGTAATTGTGCCCTGGTAAGATGCAGTTTATACTAAAGAAAGTGGGATTTTACGACACGCATTTATTGTTATATTCTTTTAGTGGCTCTATATCTGACTTCAAATAAATCGTATGAAGGATTGTTATCTAAATATACATCCTGGCTATCCTCGTATAAAATTATAGACTTAGCTCGCTTTAGCGAATAACGGAATTAAAATAAGTCAAATACGAGGAAGGATTTCGAATACGCATATTTTGTACAATCATTGATTCAGGCAAATGATCAAAGGAACGAAGCAAAACAAGATGATCCGCGGTGAAGAAGGCATATGAGCCAACTCGACTCAATCAAAATTAGTATTTAGCCACGCAAACATAAGCTACAGACAAGTAATGAATAGGATAAGATGTACATATACGTACGCTCATATAAAAACAGTAAAGGGTTGATAAGTAAATGATTAACAATGTCAAAACGTGACTAAAGAAAAATGGATAAATTGGCCTTACCAGAAGCTGGGATAAGTTATGTAGGCTTAACATAATAACCGACACTACATTATATGCAGATTACAGGTTCAGAGGTTTCCTGAGACTTCATTATATTTTATTTCTCAGTCCAAATACTTATTGAAGTTACCTAAGATATGATAAATGTTTATAAGTATACGTTGTGTCATATCCTATTGTCATACTTCCTAGTCTCCTATATAAAAAGATATCTAGCATATTCATTTTTTTCGTGTAGGATTTAAACTGGTGATCAGAAGCCGGTCTTCTATTTATAAGCTGACATGTTGGTAATAGCCACGGAATCACTAGCTTGAAACCTACCACAGAATGACATCTTTTTGCATAACGTTCAGCTGCTTCTTTAGTTACAGAGTAATCGCCAAAAACTGTTTTTCAGAATATGCCTCAAACAGGACAGGAGTGGAAAGGCAGAATACAAATCCGAAGCTTCATGATGACGTATGTCATTACAAAGGTGCTTTAACGAATGAACAATATAAATGAGGCATTCATGTCCCTAGCGATATTCATGTTCCCTGAAAATTAAGTGAATTATTATCAACAAATATACTATCCTATCCCCATCCCAAATGTGTCTTTCAGAAGTGCTAAACATCATATTTTGACCGTCACGGAAGGACGAGTCAAAATAGACAATGATATATCTTTCACGTAAGGTCTTGTAGATTAGGCAGTCACATCATGGAAAATTTTGAGATTCGTTCTATTATTTCAGTAGGAAAGACAAACTCACTTACTGCCAACCTAGATCATAATCCTACACATTACTTGACTCTATTACCGATAACCATAACCACTCTACAAAGTATGGTCACCATTTGCAGATATCAGTCACTATTTAAGGTGA